CTGCTGCTGTGGCTGCTGCTGCTGCTGCTGCTGCTGCATCTGCAACGGCTCAATGCACCACTAGCGGCTCTGCGGCTGCCACCGGCACGCCGCGAAACAGCACCCCAAGGACTAGCACCCTCGGACTCAGCATCCCCAGAGCTCGCACCGCCAGAAACAGCTCTCTCATCACAAACTCCACCAACACCAACACCCCCAACACCGGAACCCCCAGAACCAGCACCCCCAAAGCCCACTGCACCTTGCTGCTGCTCCTGCTGCGGCCGCTGAGCCGGCTGCGACGACGGCTGCTGCTCCTGAGGCAAGGGAGGAGGCGGCTGAGGTGCCTGATGTACCGAGGCTGGGGGAGGCACCGCCAGGTCAGCAGGTGCGCCCGCAACAGCTGGGCCCCTAGAGTCAGCCGACTCCCCCACAGGCACAACCGAGGGGAACTGAGTGGCGTGGGAGACACCAGACTGGGCCGGGCGGGGCGGGAGGGGAGCGGCAGGCGAGACAGGAGCGCTGCGGTGCGGGAAGCGCTGGTAGTAGGGGAGTGTCTTGTCGAAGGTAACGTCATGAGAGTGGTAAAAGCAATGGTGTGATGGGTGGTAGAACAGCCAGCAAGAGGCGTCAAGCGGAAACCCAAGAAAGACACAAGGAAGGGTGCAGGCTAAGAGCTTGTCCACGCCAGTGTCGCCGATATGAGCAAGGCTGCCCCAGACTTAGAACGCAGACACGTCACCAGGAGATCGGGTCTAGAGGAGGGTCGACGAAACCTGTGGCCGTTGGGAGCGCGGCTACAGGTTAAGCTGGTGAGAATTGTAGTGCACGGCGAATGGCCACAGAAAATGGGGTGCACCGGCGTGGACCATGGAGGTGCGAGCCACCTCCATGATCACACCGATGCGTCGCTCAGCGACCCCATTCTGCTGTGGGGAGTCCGGCAGCGTGTACGTCTCGCGGATGCCCTCCGCACGACAGAACCGTCCTAGAGTGCCAGAGGCGAACTCTCCACCTCGGTCACAGTGTAAGCGACCTACAGGTAGGCGATGGTGGGTGCGAACAGTGAAAAGCCACAGGAGGAGAATGGTAGGCACGTCGGCCTTCCCCTCCAACAGGAACACTGTGGTGAAGCGCGAGAAGTCGTCAACGACGACTAGAAAGTAGCGCTCTCGACTCAGACCATGGACTGGGGCAAGGCCCCAGACGTCCATGTGGAGTGTCTGTAGCGGTGCTGTGGTAGGAGGAAACGAGGAGGAGTGAGGGGTGGCGCGCTGCCGGCCCTCGACGCAGGACGTGCACAGTGGCGCTACCGATGTAGGCAGGGCGGGGAGTGACGCAGGGAGACCACTGATGAGACCGTGCTAGGACATGTGCCGATGACGCGGGAGTGCAGGGTGACCTAAGCGGTGGTGCCACAAAACGGTCGGGTGTCCTATGGAGTGACAAGAGCAGGACGCGACAACTGTGGCAGACGCAGCAGTCGAACGGGACTCAGTATGCAGTGTAAAGGGACCGAACCTCGGGTCACGCTCAAACGTGGCAAAGTGCCGACCGGTGGCTGTGTCTATCCAAGCGGCGTGTCTCTCGCGGCCAGGGAACGTAGTGGTGACGCCTCGGTCCTAAAGGTGACCGACACCCATTAGGTTCCTGCCAAACGAGGGTATGTGCAAACCGGTGAGGGAGCCCGAGGGGACAGCCAGACAGGGGAGAGTGGTGGTGCCATGTGCGACAGCTGTGGCGGAGGAGTCTGCTAGTGAGATGCGGACGGGCGTAGGAAGCGGGGTGAGAGCAGTGCTATCCCTAAATAAACAACGAGTTGCGCCTGAGTTAAGGACAAAAGAGAGGGCCGCCGCAGAAGGGGCAGGGGAGGAGCCAAGGGGACACGTAGTAGAGGCTCCTAGACTAGACACAGTGGTGGGACCTAGACCCCTAGGCCCCAAGGACCCCGGTCCTCCAGAGAAAACACACTAGCCCCAGTGCAGTGACCGCCTCGGGGCAGCACCTCTAGAGCCTCCACCTCGCTCAGCACCCCCAATACCCCACTGCGGTTGCTGCTGCTGCGACTGCGGCAGTGGCCTGAGAGCCCGGAAGCAGACGTCAAGGTCGTGGAGCCATAAGCCAAGGAGGTAACTAATGTGATCCTCTAGGAGCGTGCAGTCTAGGTGCGGGCTCACCAGCTGTAGACGGTGGGCAAGAAATCGGAGAGTAGAGGGAAGTGCCCGGCGGTCTGGTCGAGGGACTGACCCGAACGAAGCCATTTTGCCGAGAGGAGAGGCGTCGAGGAACGTTAGAAATGAGGAGGAGACTAGCGGGAGGTGTCGGTGCTAGAGGAGTACAATCGGAGGTAGTAGCAGTGGCGACTGTGACCGCAGTGGTAGCGAGCACGAGGCTAGTAATAACAGCGGCTAGTGACAGTAAGACGGCAGTAGCGGCTAGCTGGTGGTTGGTGGTAAGCTAGGAGCTGCTAGGAGGAGTGGGGAGCAAACGAGGAGGAAGTACGCGCGAGAGGATCTACTAGGAGCAGTACGCCAAGGAGCTAGCTAGGAGGATCTAGGACAGGCGGCACAAGACGAAGGACAGTCCACAGGGCACGGGGGACTCACGTGGCAGATGGCCCACTGGCGACTGGCGGCTGGCGGTCGGCTGCCGTTCGCAGCTGGTGGTCAGCGGCCGGCCGCGAGTGGTCGCAGCTGGCGGCTGACGGCTGAGGGTTAGCGGTCGGCTGGTGGCGGCTGGTGACTGTTGCTGGCGGCAGATGGCCGGCTGCTGGAGGCCGAAGCTGACGGTGGGCAACAGCAGTGGCGACAGGAGTAGCAGCGGTGGCTGCAGAGGCAGAGGCGGCTGTAGCGGCAGTGGCGGCAGCGGCTGCAGTGGCGGCAGCAGTGGCTGCGGTAGTGGCGGTTGCAATGACAGTGGGCGGCAGTAGGCAGCAGCAGGGTGGCAGCGGGCAGTAGTAGCTGCAGTAGTGGCAGTGGGTGGCATCAGCTGGCGCTGGCTGCTGGCTGCTGGGAGTGGGCTGCTGGCTGCTGGCAGTGAGCTGTTGGCGGCTAGTGGCTGGCTCTGGCTGCTGGTTGCTGGCGCTGGTGGCGCTGGTGAGTCAGCAAGCTGGCTGCTGGCTGCTGGCACTGCTGGCTGCTGGCGCTGCTGGCTGCTGGCGCTGCTGGCTGCTGGTGCTGGCTGCTGGTGCTGGCTGCTGGTGCTGGCTGGCGCTAGCGAGCTAGCTGGTGCTGGCTGCTGGCGCTGGCGAGCTGGCGCTGGCTGCTGGCTGCTTGCGCTAGTGACGCTGGTGAGCCAGCGAGCAGGCGAGCGTGCGAGCTGGCGAGCAGGCGGGCTGGCAGGCTGGCAGGCTGGCGAGCAGGCGAGCAGGCGGGCTGGCGAGCAGGCGAGGGTGCGAGCTGTCGAGCAGGTGGGCTTGCGGGCTGGTGAGCAGGCGGTCTGGCGAGCAGGCGGGCTGGCGAGCAGGCGGGCTGGCGAGCGTGCGAGCTGGCGAGCAGGTGGGTCGGCGGGCTGGCGAGTAGGCGAGCAGGCAGGCTGGCGAGCAGGCGAGCAGGCGCGCTGGCGAGCAGGCGGGCTGGAGAGCAGGCGGTCTGGCGGGCAGGCGAGCAAGCGAGCAGGCGGGCAGGCGAGCGGGCGAGCAGGCAAGCAGGCGAGCGTGCGAGCTGGCGAGCGTGAAGGTTGGCAGGGGTTGGCGAGAAGGCGAGCAGGCGGGCTGGCGCGAGGTGGGACGGCTACGAACTAAGGCGCTGGCGGGCGCGGGCTGGCTAGGGAGCTGGCTAACGGGCTGGCTAGCGAGCTGGCTAACGGGCTGGCTAGCTAGCTGGAGCGTTGGCTGGCGAGCTCGCTAGCGTGCGGGCTGGCGTGCTGGCCTGCTGACTACCGCACGAACAAATCGAACGCTACGTGTAACGCATGGCCTCTGCACAGTACGCGGGCCTAGAAACGACCTTCCCAACCGCTTTCCACAAATCGGCTACCTATGCTAGGTAGCGCGAAATGGGAAGGAAGGGTTGGGAGGGGAGGATTAGGATTGGTCGACACTTGGGACCAATCAGATTTTAGTTGTACAAATTGAGTTGGCGAAATTCCCAACTCACGCGATGGTTGGATTTGCGACCAATCAGAACCAGGGAGTTGGTTGGGAGTGCCAACTCAACTCGAATATTCTTATGCTAATCTGAATATATTGTTGTAAACCTCTCATTGGTTGTAAATCCAACCCTTTTGCCACATAAGCTAGCTCACCTCCTTGGAGCCATGGAGGAGGTTGAGCAGCTGCTGGGAGTCATTGGAAGGGGTCTGAGCTGAGAAGCTCATTCTCAACTTCCCACTCCAAGAAATCAATCTTGAAATGGGATTTTTCTCTAAGTCATGAGCTCTCCTCACAAGCTTCCCTTCACTAGTGGCTTCTAGTGTGATCTCCTAGGGGAAGCCCTACTCGACCAGAGTCTCAAGCACTTGTCTTCAAGGGCCTTCCTCAAGCTTAAGCTATCTCTTAGAGGAGGTTCCTCCTAAATACTACGCTAGGGGATCGTTAGTTGATTTTGTACTCCATTTTATATCCGAGGATCTTGGATGTTGGGTTTGGACTTCAACCCTTGTTGCCCATGATATAAGGGCAAGGGTTGTTACACTACGGGAGGGGGGGGGGGGCTCGAGGCTACGAAGCGCGAAATTGGAGGGCAGGGGGGGCTGCGTCCGCGTTGGCTGCTAATCTACGCGTTCAAGTCATCAGTAAGCACACGTGAAGCCTGCCAGAGTGTCAGGGGAAGGTCGACATGCAGCTGCTTGGCATAATGGATTGAGCTTATGAGACTAGAAAGGGTCAAGGAGGTCGCTCCTTGAGACTCCCAAATGCCGGAGTGGTGTGGAGTGAGCGACAGAATTCGATGCGACTTGGGGGACTTTGATGTTCGTGATAATAACGCTTGATAGTGCACCTGTTAGGAATTCCTAAAACGTTGGATCAAACTCGTGGAGTACCTGTGCAGTGGAAGTTCCAAAATGCGCATTTCAATGCGGTTCAGTTGAGTAACATATTAGTCTGATCCGCCATCAGTCTGATCCATATAGGAACCACAAGTACAGGTGTACAAAACACATGGCAAAACTACTCACATGTAACAAAACCAAGGTGCATGCTGATGATGAAAGATGGTATCATGATCCTCTGGTTGTCTCAGAACGGATCACCCAAACCTAATCTCATGACTCTGAAAGATATCCTCCTAAAACTGCGACTGGATGCTAGTGTTTCAACCCTTTTTCCTCACACCCTTCTTGTAGCAACTGTTGCTATCACACAATGTCCTTCTCCTTCACCTGCCCCTCCACCAGCTGCTGCTGCTGCTGCTGCTGCTGCATTCCCTGCATTTCTGGCTGCTTACTGTTGCTCTTGATGCGACTGTTCCTCTCCCACACTCTCCTTTTCGTTCTCCTGCTGCTGCTGCTTCTGCTGCTCTTGCTTATCAAGCTGTTCATTGCCACCCTTGCCATCATCACTGTCACTCTTGTCGCTGCTGTCGCTGTCGCCACTGCCACCACTGCCACTGCTGCTGCTGCTGCTGCCGGTACCAACCCCACTGCTGTCATTTACGAAGCAGGCGTCCTCCTTAGAAGGTTGCACCAGGCTCTCGTGTATAAAGCTAACCTCCATGCATTTCGAGCAGAGAGGGTTCATCTCCATGTGGAAGATACGGTACCCGAGATTCTCAATCGCATAAATAAGAGGGAGAGTGACCTTGGGAATGTGGATTCTGGATTGGCAGTGGGGAGTGGGAGGGGGGAAGGAGGCGAATGAAGCAGAGTGAGTTCACCTCCACGTGGAAGATACGGTAGCCGTGATTCTCAATGGCTTAAATAAGAGGGAGAGTGACCTTGGGGATGTGGATCCTGGATTGGCAGTGTGGGTAGAAAGTGGGGGGCAAGGGAGGAAGGGGAGGGGCGGGGGTGCAGTGCAGGGGGAAGTGGATGACGCAGGGAAAGGGTCATCTCTCTCTGGAAATACAGAATCCGAGATTCTCGATAGCATAAATAAGCGATAACGTGACCTTGGGAATGTGAATTTTGGGGACGTGAATTTTGTATTGAATGGTAGTGGGAAGTGGAAGCGCGGGGGGGAAAGGAATAGAGCAGAGGGGGTTCATTACATGGCTAGAAAATAGGTATCCGAGATTCTCAATAGCATAAATAAGAGGTAACGTGACATGACCTTGGGAATGTGGGTTCTGGATTGGAAGTGGTAGCAAGCCCTCGGGGTGGGAGAACGAAGGTAAATATGAAAAAAAAAAAAAAAAAAAAAAAAATATATATATATATATAATGTATGTGTGTGTGTGTGTGTGTGTGTGTGTGTGTGTGTGTGTGTGTGTGTGTGAGGAAGACTCACTTGTGGAATTCCACCAGCAGCTGTCCGAAGGGGAGCCTCCCTCCAAACCGCACTAGCCCGGCCATGGGATCTCCCCCCATGGCTTGCTCCAGGTCCCTTATCACCTCTATCTCACACCCCTCGCAGTCAATCTTGAGCACATCGATGTAGGTGGTGTGATGTGTGGACATGAGCTGAAGGGGAGAGGAGGAGAGGGAGGACACAGGGGGGGGGGGGAGGGGACTGATACGTTTAAGGACCATCCTTTGACACCTCGATCTCACACCCCTCGCAGCCGATCTTGAGCGCGTCGAGGTAGGAGTGGCAGCGGCCTGACATGAGCTGAAGGTAGAGCAGGGGAGGGGGAGAAATGGGGGAACTAATAATTTCAAAGACCCTAGGAAAGAGGGAGGCGAATGGCGGAACGAATCATTCAGAGACCCTGGAAGAGAGGGAGACAAAAGAGCCGGTACACACAATGGGTAAAACAGGGAGAGAAGCAGACGAATTCAAACAAACCGCAGCAAGCCCATTCTTGAGGCGCCTTGAAAATAGACTCTTCAACGCATAAAGAGGGAGGGAAGTAGACAGACTCGCTCGCAACGCAGCAAGCCCTGTGTAGCCTCACTAAAGATTATCTCGATAGCTGGCTCTTAAAGGTTGGGTAAGTGGGTCTCCCTCGAGTAGGGTTATGATAGAAAAGGGATTGGAATGAAGTACTTAACAAAGAACTGGAGGCGTGCGTGCGTACATACGTTTCCGCCAGAGCCATCGCCAGTGCCATGAGAAGGCATCGGCAATGGGTGAAAAAAACCCACAGGCGAGGGAGAGAAGGAGAGAGTGGGGACCTCTCAATCTAAGGTCCGCTTGAGAGCGGGAAGAGGGTCGCGTGCTGGCCACTCACCTCGGGCACGGGCAAAGGGGGAGAGAAGGAGAGCGGGGAGGGGGTCACGTGTCACTCACTCACCTTGGGCAGGGTAAAAAAGGTGTAGTTCGAAAACATCTTCCTGTTCTTGAAAAGTTTCGCTCTGCCCGAGAGCCCCTCGGGGAAGTATCGGAGGAAGGGCAGGGCGAGCATGCGCTGCTGCGCGTCTTGGGAGATGAAGGGGTCGAAGGTGAGAGGGGTGGCTCCCGTGGCTTTGGCGATGTCTTCTTCAAACGAGAAGCTCTCCTTGCTACCCACGCTGTGTGGGGGGGGGAGAGGGGGTAGGAGGAGGGGAGGGACACAGACAGATTTGCACGTCTTGGGAGATGAACGGGTCGAAGGTGAGAGGGGTGGCGCCTGTGGCATTGGCGATGTCTCCCTCAAATGAGTAGCTCTCCTTGCTACCCACGCTGTTTTGGGGGAAGGGGGAGGGGTAGGAGGGAGGAGTGGAGAGGTACAGACAGATTTGCGCGTCTTGAGATATGGAGGGGTCGAAGGTATAGCATGGCGCCCGTGGCGTTGGCGATGTCTTCCTCAAACGAGTAGCTCTTTTCGATACCCACGCTGTTTTGGGGGAAGGGGGAGGGGAATGGGGGGGGGGGGGGGGAGGGGGAGAGAGAGGGGGAGGAGGAGGGGGTGGCGGGTGGATAAAGGGGGGAGGTGAGGGTGGCACGATCTGAGGAGTGGAGGAAGGCCAGGGCGAGCATGCGCTGCTGCTGCTGCTGCTGCTGCTGCTGCTGCTGCTGCTGCTGCTGCTGCTGCTGAGAGATAAAATGGTCGAAGATGAGATGAGACGTGCCAGGAAATTGCCGATAGCATTGTAGACGAAGTGGGAGGAGCAGCAAAAGAAACCGCTCCCCTTCCCCTCCCCTGCTCTCTCCCTCTCCCCTGCTCTCTCCCTCTCTCCCTCTCTCCATCTCTCTCTCTCCCGCTCTCCCTCTCTCCCGCTCTCCCTCTCTCTCCCACCCCAGCGTGCGAGTACATTTGTTCCCCTCCATCCTTCACCGTCTCACTCATACCCACCACTCCTTTTCTCCACCTCCCTCCCCCTCTTCCCAGGGACGCACCTGTACACAACAGGTCTGCTTTGAAATGCCGTTGGTAGCATGCACACCCACTGCCACATGAGAGGGAGGAAAAAGGATGGCAGTATGAGAGAATGCTTTTGAATCAATTCAAGAGTACGGAAGGATGTCGGAGTAGGCTTTTGAGCCAACTAAGGAGCATGGCAGCTTCTGAGAGGATCTCGGAACAAGACAAGGAAAACGAGGGAACAAGACGTGGCCCGAAATAGAGCACGAGTCACGAGAAAGGAAAACGAGGGAGGAGGAAATACCGGCCTTCCCCTTTCCCCCTACCAGCCTTATCCATTTTCCCCCTACCAGCTTTCTCCCTTCCCCTCCTACCAGCCTTCCCCCTTCCCTTCCTCCCAGCTCCGCATATCCATCCTTCATTCGTACCTTACCGCCTTCTCCCCACACGCCCAGCCGTTGTTCCCGTGCGCAGGGGTACATGGGAGCGATGACTTTCGTCAGCATGTCAGGCACGGACAGCACGGCCGGCTGCAGTAGATTCTGTAACGACGCCTCGCGACGCGCCTTATTCGCCGCGTACGCCTCTTCCGCGCGGCATAGCTCCAAATCGAGCGCGTTTTGCGCTTTAATATAGTAGGGATGATTTAACGCCGCGGCGGAAAGTCGGCCGGGGGAGTCGTCGGGGGCTTGTCGCTGAAGCTGCAGCTCCGCGTCGCACGATCGCGACGAGTTGTACTGCACGCCCAGGAATACTACGACCAGCAACGCGCCTGCGACGATGTACGGATTCGCACGTCGCTTCTGCGACTCCTGACGACGCGGCGACGATTCGATAGGGAGCGAGGCAGCCATCGCGACTATCGCTGCTTGAACGAATACTTAGCAGGTTGAGAAAAACTAACTGGGCATTCCTATCAACCACTGGTTTCAGTAGTGGAGTGAGAAGTTTAGAACCTCAAGCACTCTGGTCTTGTGCCAGATAAAAAGGAAGTGGGCGAGAGGGGGAGGTGGGGGGAAGTATTTATACGGTGCTTTACATTTGCGGAGTGTTTTATATCGTTTTAGTACGGTGCCTTGACAGCAGAAGTGGCATGAGGTGTGCTGGAGAACAGGACAAGAGCAACATCCCATGAGCGAGTCGCTCATCGAAGGAAGGTGCCATGAGAGAACGAATGTCACTCAATCGGGAGGTACGCACAGTAATACTGGGTGCGGCACTGTGGGATGATGAGGCATGACCGACATTCGTTAGAAGAGGAATATTGTGCTTGTAGAGAATGCTTTTGTAACGTCAGCTTCGCCACTCGTCTGTAACATCTTTGCCAGGTCCTTCCAATCCGACACAATAGAGCATATAGAGGCTGCTTTTATTGGATATGCAAGGAAGTACAACTATTCCGTGCCTAGGTTCTCAGAACCAGTGGTAGTTTGCCCCAGAGTCGCATCTCATACCATCGCTTCCTAAACTTCCCCTACCTTGACATTTCTGCAGCCTACCTGCCACTTCGACGACAGCTGTACGGTGTGAGAAGCTTTTCGTGATGCCATCAAGATCGAGCTGTTGAACTAGCCAACCCTAGTGGAAATCCGACTAGCAGTTCGATCCCTCCAGCAGTAGTGGAGGATTATCATGAAGCGGCCAACGGAAGCCTCCAGCCGCTCCCACGACACCCTCTCCTCTGACTCCTCTAACGAGCATACTGCTTTAACGATAAGCAACACTTACCGCCAAGACAGCAGCTCCAAACACCCAGAAACTTACCCTAATCACCACAACAATGTCAGCGATGGCGAAAGCCACAGGTTCAGCATGACAAATATCAGCTCGTCTTCACTACCTGACTCCACTTCAAATGCAGACGCCGGTCATTCCGATCGCCATTTAGTGAAATTGGTCGATCTCCCTGCTGTGAACCCTAGCGCGGGTAAATTCCCCTACTGCCTGGTTTGGACGCCGCTGCCTGTTATCGCGTGGCTCGTGCCGTTCATCGGCCATTTGGGGATCTGCCGGGAGGACGGCACCATTCTGGACTTCGCCGGATCGTATTTCGTCTGCGTGGATAACTTCGCGTTTGGAGCTGCGTCGCGATACCTTCAGCTAGACCCAGCAAAGGTACGTTTGATCACCCCCGCTCCTGACTGTGTTCAGGTTGAAAGCACTTCCTATACTCACGCTGGCAATTTCGCGTTTGGAGCTGCTTCGCGATACCTCCTGCAAGACCCAGCTAAGGTACGTGAAATCTTCCGCTTGCCTGGCTGGGTTGAGAGTCCGCACCTCCTTTATCTGCACTCAATGCCCATTTTGGTCTCGGTCTCTGTTGCGAAACTGTTGTTGAGTGTCCTTCCTATAATCCCCTCCTATTCCCCTCATTCCTCCCCCACCTCCGGCCTTGTCCAGGAAGTGGACCTTTGTTACCCCCAGTTGCTTTTACTTCCTCTGTGTTTCATATAGGCCTTCCATAACCCTCTCTCAACCTGCACTCACCTCTCCTATTTCATCCAAGCTTGCCATTTCCCCTGATACATCACTTGCAGAGTCCCCTAATTTCTCCAGCAAAATAAATCACCTCATTCCTATCCAAGCTGATTTGCGCTCACGTCTGCATTCCGTTCTCCCCTGCCAGGCATGCCTGCCATCCAACTTGTCAGAGCACATCTGCAGCACTCCGTTTTTCCATGCGGACTACGGCACATCTCAAGGTTGGGACCAGGCTTTAGCAGCAACGGTACGCACGTATCAGCATGCCTTCTACAACATTTTCACTTCCAATTGCCATTCGTTTGTGGCTTGCTGCCTCAATCGGATGGCCTACAAGAGCAGAGCAAATTGGAATGTCGTGGAGCTTGCGGCGCTGATGTTTTTGCATGCCAAATGGGTCAGTAATAGAGCAATCATAGCGGCATTTGCACCTTTTGTAGTAGTAATGGTGCTTGGGATCTACTCGGCAGGAATCACGTTCGTTTTCTTCTGGTTGGGGTTCTCAGCTCTTTTGGTAGGATGGTTTGTTTTAGGGACGTATGGATTCAAGGGCTTGGTGCGAAGCATGTAATATAAAATATGTTCAGTTGACTGCCTCGGCGGCTTATCAGGGTCCCCTTTTAGGGACACTCTCTACACGCACCTACAGGTTCCTGAACGACACGTGAGCTAGCGCTGACTCATTCACTGCGCTGAGATCGGTGCATTCCACGCGTCACCCGTTTATTAATTATTTCCAGATCGTGCGCGTCACTCTGGCGCTGGTAGTCCCCGTCAGCTAGCGGCTCGTCGATTCCAAATACAGAGCCATCCAGATTCCCAGGCACCCGATAAACTGCTCAGGTTTCAAATCTCGTATGAAGCATTAAATTTCCAAATCTCTGCTGTCGTTGCGCCTTTCGCTCAGCCTAGAAAACTTAGTATTATCTTGCTTCAGATTCCCGGGTTGTTGCCAGTCTGATCCTCTAGTCCGGCACTAGTATCAGCTCCTTAATTCTGCGTTTCTCTGCATCGTCTGTCTTCGCGATGGCACAGGCAGTCGCCACTCCTCTCCCACGTTGTGCGTCCGTCTCCGTTTCTCCCGCAGTGACAGGCACAAGCAAGAGAGCGTTGCAGCTAGTTTCTCCGGCTTCCACCTCGTTAAGCCTGTCGCAGGCCTCAGTCGGGCGACGCGTTTTGACCAGTGAGAGGCAGTCGCGTAGCCCTTCCCTCAGTCGCACGTCTCGGCGCGCCGTTGTTCGTTCCCAGGCGACCACCGAAGGTGAGCATTGCCTCACAAGGATGCACAGGTTGAGTGCTTCATGGACTCACAATTCCGGTGAACGCAAACCTAAGGGGGTGATCATGGGGATCTATGGTTGTCAGAAGTTAATGAGAATCGGACTCCATATGATTCGTCATTGTCGGATGAATGTGACCTACTACCAGTACAAGACGACATGTATTGAACGCATGCACGCTAAGATCCAAACGCCTGTCACGTTCATTGCCATCTTTTCGTACAAGGCATGGCGCACTTAGCATGCCTTCCTCATTTTTCAAGCATATCTCACTCTAAAGACTACTCGTCTGTCTGTCAAATTGATGAGACGATCCTCTCATTCCTTTTCTGTGTAAAGAAGGCCAAGGCTCTAGACGCTGCCATATCCACCCTATACTAACGTGCTTTCCCGTTCCCATCTTTCCAACCCGATTTCCATCAGAAGCACCGATATCATTCCAAATCGGCGAGACGAGTCTCTCCATCCCTTTCTCTGTAGAGAAGGCCAGAGCTCTAGACGCTTCCATCTCCAACCTGCTGCAAACCTTCCGGGAGAAGGAGAAGGCCACCCGGCCACAGAGATGGACTACGATGGAGTATCGCCATTCTGGGGATGTCAGTAACGGGGATGTTTTTATCGAGGTGTTTTGCAACCCTAACGCGTACGCAAATGCGTTTCAGGCGAAGGCCCTGATTACGGTGAAGGATGACAGGATCAGGTTCACTTCAGAAGGTGCTTTGAGTGCGCTAAAGGCGAACATAGACGAGTATTTGATGCGACATGCTTGAGGATTTGCTGAGAATGTGCTGGTAAGGCCATGTTTCAAACGTATGCTTAGCTGCATACCCTACCCAACCATTCTGAATTTCCATTATGTCCGCAACCAAATGTTCCCTTAGGGACGTATTGTTAGCATCAAGGCGAATATAGTCATTATGGATCTCGAAACAGTGTGGAGACAACTGTACAAGTTGCATCTATTTGCGATTAGCACCACAGTAGCCTGCTTATAGCGAAACGCGAATTTCGTTCTGGCGCAGGGCGCTTTGCTTTCTCTGTCGTGCGAAAGGCCGCAGAACATGTCGCGCTAATCGTGAGGGTGTCGCTCTCGACCACTTTAGACCCACGCTAAATCCTTTTAATGCCTACTGAAGTGCGCAAAAGCAAGCGGGAGGGACCCTCGGGGCAACCGACCTCACTCCCTCTGCTATTTATTGGAGGACAACGTAGCAGAGCAGCTAGGCAGAACACTCGCACGATACTAACATGAGGGACGTCGCTTCACATGGTTGTGGCGATGCTCCAGTTCTTTAGGCAACGGAGCTCTAACAGGATGCGATGCGATTTGCTCGTTAGAACTTCCATACATCCTTTTCCGCAGAACTCTAGGGCTCGCACTCGTAGCACCTAATTCTACTCACCCTTGTCAATAGCTTCAAATCCACTTGTTATCATGTCTCGCATGTACATCAATAGGTTGTCTGACGACCTCCTCATCAAAATATTGTGGCACTCAAAACAGCCCAAGCAGCCCATATCTTTCCAAGCCGTAAGCAAGCCGTCATGGCTTTCCATGTTGCCGCGGCCAAGGTACACCTCGGAGAACCCGTATGGCGACGACGTCAACGACGACTCGTCAGAGAGTCAGAAGCTGGAGATACTTCAGCTCGGTTCAGAGTCAGCTCCTCCCAACACTATCCATAGCCCTGTGTCAGCTCGTTCCAACCCTAAGAGCCATAGTCCGTTGTCAGCTCCTCCTGCTCTCACCGACCCGGCGTACAACCTCCTGATAGCCTCCATCTGCTCGCGCTGGCGTCGCCTGGCTCAGCATCAGATCTCCATGCTCCTCGTGAAGGAAAACCGCGTCGTTTCGCTCCAAGATCTCATCGCTGCCGTCAAATGCTTCCCGAACCTCTCCCATCTGCATCTGAGCGACAACAGCGTGGAAACGATCGACGACGCATTCCTCGCCGTCCTCGCTTCGTCATGCCCTAAACTGGTGTCTCTTCACGTGGGAAAGGGGGTCACATCGAATCAGGATTTCGAGAGGGAGGAGGAGCATCCGGTGACCGAAGCCGGTCTGGACAATTTCTTCCGTCACTGCACGCAGCTGCAGCACCTGTCCCTTTACTGCCTGCATCGCTACGGCAAGCTGCCTGCTTCCCTTTCTCAGCTCACCCATCTTCGAACTCTGGCTCTCACCGACGTTTCAGCTCTAGTCGCTTCGGGATTCACGAGCCTCACTTCGCTCGCTGCCCTCTGCGTTGACATCTCGGATCAGGATGAGCTGGATCTCGCGAACCTCGCGCACCTCCCGGCCTTCGCCAGCCTCTCCTTGTGCGAAGCCTCCTGGCTCATTCTAGAAGGCGTCGACTCCCACCCCTTCGCATTCGGCCAGCTGGCTTCGCTCGAATCGTTGGAGTTCGACAGGTACACGCCACGATTCGATCTACTGTTTCCGTCAGGATCCCCGTGCAGCCGTCTCGAGCGGCTGGTTCTCAAAGGCTGCGACGGACTCGTGCTTCCCGAGGACATCGGAGAGCGCCTGCCTTGCCTTCGTGATTTGAGCATCTGCGGATGTGAAAATTTCTCCGAGCTGCCTGAGCAGTTCAGTTCCCTAATCTGTCTACAGAAGCTGTCGATTTTCTTAAGCGACATGGTCAGCCTGCCTGAAACTTTTGGAAAGCTGCCCGCGTTGACAGCATTGACGCTGCACCACCTGCAAATTTCGCATCTTCCAGATTCCTTCTACCAGCTGACGTCCCTGGAAACTCTGAAACTGTCCCACTGCAACGCAATCTTCGAATTTCCTCCAAGATTCGGCCAACTCTCAGCACTCAGGTTCCTCCTCATCATGAACTCGCCATACCTGGCACTGCCAGACGACATTGGAGGGCTGACCAACCTCCACACTTTCAAACTTCATGAGAATTTTCCGCAGCAGCTGCTTCCATCCTCTTTCACCAGTTTGTCCTCCCTGACAAAACTTGAGCTCGTCCACTGCATGGTAGCTGAGCTTCCAGAGGACATTCGGAAGCTGAGTAGCCTGCAGGAGTTGAGTATCGAATCCTGCTCCAAGATCCAGAAGCTTCCTGAGACTGTCGCTGACCTTCCAAGCCTTGAGATTCTGAGAGTTTCGGAGTGCAGCAGCCTCTCTTTATTTCCCAGCTTGAGCAGCCTTGCAGGGTTGAGAGAGTTGGCACTTGGCAAGTTCCTGCAGCTACCAGACGTTTCAAATTCGCTGCCACACTCCCTCGAGGTGCTGAGCGTGGGGGGCTTTCAACGCCTCACCCCTCTCTTAGAAATTCCTGCTCTGCCTAGGCTCAGGAGATTGAGCCTCACGAGTGTTGGTCTCATCCGTGGGGTGGTTGCTGGCATGACTCTGTCGTCCCTGGAGCACTTGGAGCTGTTGCTGGCAGGTGAAGCAGAGGAGCTTCCATTCCCCCTGAAATTCCTTCCTAACCTCCGCACCTTGACAATCCAAAATGCTGGACGCATGAATAAGCTTCCAGCTGACATTGGCTCGGCCTTGCAGCGGCTGAGGCAGCTCCAGATACAGCAGGCTTTAGAACTGACAGAGTTACCTGAGACTGTTAGTGGGTTACAGTGCCTGACATCCATGGAAATCCATGCACCCAAACTCGCCACACTTCCAGACAGCCTCGGTGGCTTATCCAGATTGCGCAAGCTGAACCTGTCTGATTGTGCATCTCTCACGCAGCTCCCTGCTTCTCTCACCCAGCTCTCCTGCCTCCATGAGCTGAACCTTCGCAACACACCCATGCGCTCCCTGCCTTGCAACTTTGCTCAGCTGAGCCGACTCAAGGACCTTGACTTGCATGGCTGCAAGCAGCTGCAAGGACTGCCTGAGGGTTTTTCCCAGCTCAAGATGCTTCATCAGTTTACTGTTACGGGGTGTGGTGAACTGCCAGCTGATGGTATTGAAGATATGTATGGGCTGCATATTGTGAACTACTTGGATGCCTCGGAGACACTAGTATAAATAAAGTCCCTTACAACCATTCTTGTTGGGTTTTCCTGCTGGCAACATGTGGATAGCCTGGCAGATGCTCTCGAGTCTCTGCCAAAGATATGGCGGGCTCTGCAGGGGTTCGGGCATGGTGTGGCTCTCTGACTTCCATCACGTGTTTCGGGTTGGACATTCGGATGAGGCAGTTGCAGCAGTAGCAAACGACAAGGGCTTGAAGGTCTTGGTTGTGGAGGACAACATTGAACCAACGGGTGGCAATGACACTTCTGCGCAAGTGGGGGCACAAGGCTGTTCTGGCCAAAGATGGCGAAGAAGCTGTGAAGAAGGTTCAGGATGAGGACTTTGATGTTTGACTGATGGATGTGAGTCGACCATCTGCCTCCTTTTCAACCTTGTCTCACATGCCCTGTCAACATATATATGTGTATGTGTGTGTGTGTGTGTGTGTGTGTGTGTGTGTGTGTGTGTGTGTGTGTGTGTGTGTGTGTGTGTGTGTGTGTGTGTGTGTGTGTGTGTGTAGGCTACGTAGGTGTTCTACTGGTTCTTACTGTAGAGAGTGTTAAAATTATATAAGTTATAATTTATATAGGCTTGGTAGGTTGTTACTGAACCTTTTCTGTAGAGGGTACAAACCCCTCCTTGTACTCCTCTCTCTTCCTAATCCAACTCTCTTTTCCTCTCCTCAACTTTCCTAGCACCTAAAACCTCTCGCCATTCTCATGGCTCCTCCTAGCTCCTAGCTAAACCTTGTGCCATTCTATGGCTTCCTAGCTAAGCTAGTCTTTTGACATGGTATTAGAGCAGTTCGTTCCGTGTGGGCCTGCTCCTCGCGTTTCCGCTGCGTGCTCGTTTCTCTCTCTATCTCGCGCTGCCATGGCGGCCGCGTCAAGCTGCTGTGGCCGCGTCGTCGTGCCGCGGCGCCGCTGTCGACGTCCATGGCGCCCGCGTCCAGCTGCTGTGGCCGCGCCGTCGTGCCGCAGCTCCGCCGTCGCGTCAAGATGCTGTCGCGACGTGACGGCGCCGTCACGCTGCCGCGGCGTCTACGCGACAGCGCGCAGTCGGCGTACCAGCGACGTCGTGCTGCCGTCGCAGCGTCGACGCCCCGCTGCGGCATCGACGCCGCTCCATGACGGCGTCGTCGGGCTGCAGCCGGCCGCGTGACGCTTGTGGCGCCGCTAGACCGGCCGCCCGCATGTCAGCCTGTGGCGCCGCCCCCCCCCCCACCCCCCCTCCTTCCCCTGCGCCCTCTTCCATTCCGCAGACGACGGCTGACTCCCGCCGGCCGTCCCACAGTCGCGGGGCCAGGCCACGTCACCGAGAGGTGCGGGTGCCGCCGCCGCTGCCGCTGTTGTCGAAGCCGCCGCCGCCGCCGCTGTCGCCGCTTGCGTCGGGGCCACGCAGCCGCACGCCGCCGCCGCCGCCGCTGTCGACACTGCCGCCGCTGCCGCCGTCGCCGCCGCAGCCCCTGCGGTCGACGTCGCCGCCTCACGCGCCGTGGGGTCGACCGACCTAGAGTCGCTGTCACTGTGGCTGGAATGGGGGTGCTAGGTTAGGGGGTGTGGGTGTGTGTGGGTGTGTGACTACCAAGCCTAGGGGGTGTGTTAAAATTATAGAAGTTATAATTTATATAGGCTTGGTAGGTTGTTACTGAACCTTTTCTGTAGAGGGTACAAACCCCTCCTTGTACTCCTCTCTCTTCCTAATCCAACTCTCTTTTCCTCTCCTCAACTTTCCTAGCACCTAAAACCTCTCGCCATTCTCATGGCTCCTCCTAGCTCCTAGCTAAACCTTGTGCCATTCTATGGCTTCCTAGCTAAGCTAGTCTTTTGACAGAGAGGACCCCACCTTTCTTGTGCCTCTCTCACTTTTCTAGTCTCCCTCTTTTTTCTCTCGCTACTTTCTTGCCTACCTAGCTAAACCCTCTTCTAACATGGTTT